TGTGGTCAACGCTGTCGAACGCCTTTTCAAAGTTGATGAATTCGAGATAGAGAGGTGATTGCTCCAATCACTTATGATATGTAGCGTTGAAGGAATGTGGCAGGTTATGTTAATCGATTACCTGACTATCTGTAACTAACTCAGACAGTCTGATTATGAATATTAATCAGAAATTCACAAAGTTGAAATTTCTTAATATATTGATCATTTTCACAAGATTTTTAGCATACTTTTGTCAATTGATATGAAATTAAATTATATGGTATGCAAAATTAATTGGTTAAAACTTTATTCTGAAGAATTAGTTTGTAGGGTTTGCATTTATATCAGGTCAGACTATGGATTAATATCATTTAGAGAACCATTGAGAACCAGGGAGTACTAGACAACTGTTTCGTCAACCCAGTTTGGGACTCATCATCAGCACGCAACCACTGGGTTTCAAACCCAGAACCTTCTGGTTACAACGCAAGTCCGAAGTGAGCATGAAGTCCCACTGATGACATTGATTAGTAGTCGCTCTAAAATCACAAATTGGTAGAAGTTAGAATTCATGGACTGACCATTGAGGAGTCGGGTCCCAGTGGCTGAATGGTCTATGAGCTAGCTCGTCTTGTAACTGGAAGGTCCTGGGTTCGACCCCCGGTGGGTGCGTCTTGCCGATGAGTGCCAAACTAGGCTGACGAAACCACTGTCTAGTTCTCCCTGGTACTCAGTGGTTCTTTAACTGTGGTCTAACCTAAACTTTCATTAACTCACTGGGGAAACAGAGAGTTAGAAACTTATCTACATTTTATTTTGTAAGGACTAGTAATCAGAAGTTAACCGATATAACTGTCATTAGTGTTGAAACTGTACGTGTGTGTGTGTGCGAGTGTGTAAGTGGTTGAGCAATACAGCATTTTTTATGAACTATTTTTGGGTCCACGACTGCCCATAATCTCTCAGCTTATCTAACTCATACTATCCCCTCCATATCACCATCACACCCAGGACCCACTCATTGTTTCCCAGTCGGGTTCCACTCGAGCAGCAGCCTGGTGCATGAGGACATTCAAGTGTCTTCTCCACGTGGGCCGAATCCATCTCCGATTTCTCCTACATATTTGTTGAGCAATAGGCTCTTGGTTAGTTACCAGCCAGAGTCCCATTTTGCTAATTCTTTCTGGAAATTTGATCCTCAATGTGGAGCCAGCGAATCGGGTGACTGTTGACAAAAGTTTGTAAACTTTTAGAATTGCTTTTCGTAACTCTAGAGCCAAGTTTCTCACCCATATAGAAGAACGGACTGACTGACTTCACATTTGTGTTGAAAATCCAAGTCTTGGTTTTTATAATGAAGAGTGCACAAGCTTTCTAAAATGGTCTCAGATTGATGAAGGCGTATCTCGCCTTTCCGTTTCTGGCTAGTTTTGACGTCTTCACCTGTGGTTGATTGATTGACTCACTATTTTTATTATTTTGTTCCTGTGCATTCCCACTGTAAATTCTCACGGACTGGGGTTACTTGACCCACACGCCTAACCTTCCCTCTTTACCAGCCCTAAAACAGGGTTTGGTGAGGTTTAGGAGTGCGTCCGCCGGGAATCAAACCCTGGACCATATGCGTGGTTGGCGAGCATTCTACCGATGAACCACTGAATCACTGGTATCGCTGCCAGGATTAATTCATTGATTTATTATAAAGGAGTAATTCATGTCATGTGTTCGGTCTTCGGTGTTTGTTCTGATTCAGTTCTATCACATCTGATCATGGAATAACATTGGTTAGAAAATCACTGGGATTCACAAAGCATTCAGAAGTGACTCAGAAGTAAACAGCTTTCACCAAACTGGTGATCGAACACAGAATATACGGGTAATATGGCCAGCTTGTTGACTATAAATTCTAACCTCTGTCATTTCGCCGCAGCCAACCAAAGTTATTGATGAATATTTCTCCACACAAACTCGACTTGATGGATCACACTGGCTACAACATCCCATCAGAACTCCAAGCAAAGTTCATTCTATAGCCAGACACTAATAAGCAGACGAATAATTCTAGAGTGTTGATTCTCAGGGATTTAACTGGTTTCAATTTTGACCAGAGTACCAATGAAGAGTCTCAGAGTTAGATGACGTGATATTATGAAACGCGAAGTCTAGATTAGCAAAGACTTACCTCTAACCACCTTATATGAGTGCAGTGCTTTCAAGAATTTCGCCTATATAAATGAAAACTTTATTTAAATGTTTTTCATTAAAACCAACATCTAAGCAATTTATATGTAGTAAATTAAGAATCGTGCCTTGTCGATAACAGTGTCGATAAAACAATAATCTGCAATTAGTACTGTTCTCTGAGCTGGTTGGTTTAGTTGCGAAGCTTTCATCGTCCCCCTGCTGGACAACATCTTTAGCGCAATACTTGGCATAAAGTGAAATGATTTAAACTTTCCACGAGTGATAGAATTGCGTCTCCCGGTAACCATCTGTATTACATATGTATTGACCATTTTCTATTGACTTGGATTTGAAACTTCCTCGTCACCTGATTTACTTTTTATTAGTTGGTATATTTCGTCTATATTAACGTGTGTGTTAATTGCATATTCGTTTGAGTACCAGGCTTCTATGAATTCTCTGGTACATTTTGTGTTTCCTCTGCCTTAAATTTTGACGTTATCCCAATCATCAAATTCTTGTCCATAATTATCTACACGCGTTTATATGAAAGAATATATATCATGTCTTTTCCCAGCTGATTTGTATTCCTGGAATCTGGTTCGAAGAGGACGCCCACTTTGGCCAATTTGATGTTTGTTACAGTTCATATAATTTATTTTGTAAATGGTATTAATTTCTATCTCCTTTTCTGTTGGATCTTCCAGTTCGCACAATATCGAATGAAGTGATTTGACTGACTTGTGTACTATGTCAATGTTCTTTCGTACCATGTCTAATTTTTACTATGATCTTGATATAACTGTTTCGTGATTGGTGAAAGTTTCCATCAGATTGTTGGAAGTGCTGGCATTAAATGATTGGAGGTGATCGGTCACAGGAAGCCTTGAGTAGATCTAGATTTCGTGCTAGTCGGCACTCAACCGGCAGCAAGGCGTATCTGCAACCGCCTTGAAGGAAATCATGTCCCTTCTGAGATTTGAACCCGCGTCACCCAGTGCCACCTGTAGGCAGTCAGAGACGTTATGACTCGGCTATTTTGGCTCGCGACTGACCTCTTGTAGGACTGTATTGGATATTTTTTGATTGCACACTAGTCAGTAACTAGTGTAATGTGTCTAATCCTATCTTCGGTGCAGACTGTATTCCATCAGTCAAGCTTGCTTTGTGGCAACCATGCATTTATTAACAATCAAACCAATTGTCTGAAGCACATAGGAACACTGATTGACTTTATATTGACGTTAAACCTGGGATTTCAATTATTATGCCGACTGGTGTAGGTCGTCAAACTGAATTCAGAGTAATAAACACCTGTTTTGACTTCCTGATCTCTTTTGACTTTGACATTGATACCCGTGCTGCCCATAGTTGACGTGGATGAAAACTGGGTATCTCTTGTCTATGTATATCCCATCAAATACCTTTACTGTCCTTCTGGTAACATTGGGAACACAATATTCAGCGAAGAGACTCTTTACAACAACGAATTCATTATCAAGCTGTACAACCGTGTATATATGGTTTATCTTATAAGAAATTATATCCGGTGAGGAAATTAGGTCAAAGGTGTGAATACATGAAATAATAATAGTAGTAGTATGAAATGCAACTAAAATATTTGTGATTATAATCATAGGTTTAATGTCAGGTGGCAAAATAATTAATGTCATATGTAGAATAATACATAAGGTGTGTAGATTTTGAAAGGGGTACATAATTATAGCTGCAATTTGTTCTCCACCTCTGTAAAAGATAAGCTCTCCCGTCTGGCCGCCTGCATTTGCAACTATCAGTTCACCTGCTCTTGTGAAGCAAGGTACATTGGCCGTAGTCAGAGGACGCTTTCCACACACATACGAGAACATATTCCAGCTAGGTTTTACAAGGGAGAAAGGAAGTGTGTGCGAAACTCTATTCTGGAACACCTGATCGACTACTGCAACTCTGTCAACCCTGACCATGATCTCAAGATAATATACAGAATACATGCTAACTTCCCGCGTTTTCTTCCTTACAGACTTCTAAAGACAGCTGAGGCTTTGGCAATTCATTACTTTAAGCCAGACCTTTGTGTACAATCCCTACTTCTGCCTTGGCCGTAGAGGGATAGACATTTATTTATTTTGTTTATTTAGTTATTCTATGTACTCTTCCCTTATTACTATTATTATTATTAATATTATTATCATTGTCATTATTATTATTACTATTCTCACTCTGAATCTTTTCCACTTGACCCACTTGACATTTTGAACCCAAAATTATTAATTTTTATATTTTTTATTTCTACAATATTGAATTCTATCTTATCAAAAATTTCACACCATGTTATGTAACATTTTATATTCGTCTACTAAACTTATAATTATGTATCCCTTTCCAAAATCTATACACCTTATGTATTATTCTATATACGACATTATTTAATTTGCCACTTGACATTAAACTATGATTATAAACACAAATATTTTAATTGCATTTCATACTACTATTATTATTATTTCATGTATTCACACCTTTGACCTAATTCCCTCACCGGATATAATTTCTTAAGAAAAATACCATATGTATACGATTGTACAGCTTGATAATAAATTCGTTGTTGAAAAGAGTCTCTTCTGTGAATATTGTGTTCTTAATTCTACAACGGGAATTATTAAATTATCTTCTGTTAACTTCTAAGTTTTCTCTCATAAGTCTTCCAGTTTATTTCTTGTGTTCAAGCTGGAGAATTTAGGATTTCTACCCTTATAACAGTGGCTAGTTTTTATTCTAATGTTAGATTTCATCTTAACTTGTATCTTTTTCTACCTTGCTCTCAGAAATATAAAATGGATGAAAAGGACGATGTTGCCGAATCGAAGAAAACAGAGTCAACTGAAGCACCAATGAAAAAAACGTGTTGTCCATCGTTATCCAAATGTTTTTCCGGTCGTAATAGAATTATGATAATTGTTTTCCTTGCAATCCTCCTTGATAATGTTCTTTTAACAACTATAGGTAGGTTGCTTTTTTTAAAATCAGTTGTGATCAATATATTTATGTAAATTTTATGTTGCTGTACTGAACTCGATAACTTTGTCGCTCACCAAATATATTACGACTGTTACTGATTCGTTGTTGGCTAGAATGCCTCTCCAGACACGATTCTTTAACTAAATGACCACCAGAAAAAAAGCCCTCTGACTGTGGGATAGACACACCTACAACAACACCGCTTTATTATTCGAAATACATGGTATACACAGTTTATAAATCCTCAGAAATTCAAGCCAAATATGAACCAATCAAAAACTGTCCAGCCAAATTATCACGCTGTCCATTCTAACAGCCAGCAGGTTGGGAAGAATAATAATAGTGATCACTATTTATTTCAATTGTGTGGGTGGTGACAATAAGCGAAATTCAGGATGTGAATTTCCTCCTATTTCCCAGTGAGTGATGGTAGTCCTACTGAGACGTGAACATGGTACCCATCGTTTTAAACACCAAAATGTTAACCAGCAATCCACCTTGTCCATGATAGCCACCTCTTGTGCAACAGATATCACTTATACAGATATATGGATTTCCGATCATCCCATTCTATGTCACCAAAAATAGGATTGGTGAAATGTTTAAGTGACAGAGCACAAAAACTAAGTAGTACCAAGGAAAATATAAGACAGTAAGTGAGACATATAACAGATGTCTTGAAACTTGATAATTACCCTGATAAATTAGTCAGAAAGTATGTAGGAAAATGTAAAAATAAAATAAATAATGGTAGAAGTGGTAGTAATAATGATAATAATAGTAATAATAGCAGTAATATTAGTGACGACATGCATGTCAAACATACGCAAGACAACACCAACAATAAGGAATCTAAATCATCAGTAGTAATTCCATACAAGGAAGGAACCTCGGAAGCCTTACGCAGAATTCTTAACAAGGCAGGAACAAAAGTGGTTGGCATTCAAACCAACCACAAACTCAATTAGAAACAAGCTTTGTCGGTTAAAGGGTCAGTCCTGTGGAGCCAATTAAACAAAACAATTTAGTTTGTTTAATACCCTACCTGTAATGATTATGAGGTCAAAATCCCCTTGTTGTACGTTAACACATTCCATATCTCTCGTATAGGCGTTGCGTCATTCCGATTGCTTGTGTTGTGCGGTGTTGAGTCAATAAACAAGGCTTCAGTGAATAATCTGTCTTTCTGTCTCTCTCCACCTAACTATATAACATTTTAATACTCTAACCTTGTCTCACCCACCCTATTTTGTGATTACTTGCAAGTGAATGCAATGCAACGGAATGACTGGGCTTTTTCTGGGTTATTTAACTTAGTGGGCTCAATTATTCTAGGTTTCTAGCTGAATTTTTATGTTGCGGTAATCTAGTTGACCTCAATACACTGGTTTGACCATTGTATTTAGAATGCAAAGCCTCTGTAGTATTGCCGTGCAAAGAAGGAACGTCAGAGACCTTGCATAAGATTATCAATGAGGCTGGAATTAGGGTGGCATTTACACCAACCCACCAACCAACTCTCTAAAAGATAAACTTTATTGGACTAAGAACTCAATAGATTCAATGAAGAAAAGAATATGACTTGCCAAACACCACTCACCGGACTCCGAGAAATCAGTGGACTTGATAACACCATTACTGGATAAGGTGTGGAAAGAGGGCAGATTGTAGGAAAGGCTATCTATTCAAACTGCGAAAGAAAGGAGATTTAAGTCAATGCAAGAACAGGCGAGGCAATATGCTCCTGTATGTCCCAAGCAAAATAATAAGCCGCATCATCCTGAAGAGAATCAGACACGCCCTGGATGAAAAACTTCAACCATAAAAGGCTGGATTCATGAGGAACAAATCATGCATCGATCAAATCGCAACACTACATTACATCATTGAACAGAGCTTGGAATAGCAGTCACCTCACTAACTCGACTTCAACGACTTTGAAAAGTCATTTGACAGCGCCGATTAAGAGATGATTTGGAAACGACTTCGCTACTACGGGGTGTCGCCAACAATGCCGCATCTCATCCAACAGTTGTACGACAACGCTGTATGCCAAATAATCCACAAAAGGAAACTCACGGAATCCTTCGAAGTGAAGAAAGGAGAAAGACGAGCTAGCTGCCTACTATCTTCAATCATTTTCCTAATTGCGGGTGGTAGACTGGATAATGTGACAGCCGGTGGGCCGGGCAACGAGGAGACAGACATAAAATCGACCCACACAAAATACTTGGAGGACCTGGACTTCGCCAATGTGATATATATGTCTGATTTCCCACAAATTGGAAGATATGCAAGTGAAAAGCAACAAGTTAGCGATAGAAGAAGCATCACAGATAGGCCTTCAGGTGAACATGGAGAAGGTGAACACGGTGAGAGAGAGAGAAAATGTACAAAAAGAATATGTCAGAGTGATAAATTATAAGGAACGCCTAATGAGGAGATTAGGACCATGGTAGAATACGAGCCTGGACAAGCGTTTTCTGTATACAGGGTTCCGGATTGTACTGACGAATTAGCAACACCTCCGTCATACACACACACACACAAATGCCGAAACCTGACACTTCTTGTTCCATTTTGCCCCACCTTTTAAATATTTTTTAAAGACAACTGTGGTGGAGCTAAGTAGCTTGAGTTTATCAAGTTCTCGGAAATTGAGCAAGTAACTGTCTTGCATTGTCCTTGCGTTAACCATGCCAGATAATCTTGAGAGATGCGTTTGGAAGTTGCACACTTTGTGCGACCAATATAACTAGTTCCACAGGAGCAGGTGAATTTATTAACACACATTGAAGTAACCCCAAGAGGGAGTTTATCCTTCACATATTCACTGATTATTTGTCGGCTGTAGAAACTGATCCGTATTATATATTATTATTGTTATTGTTCCCTTGGGTTCCCAGTAGAACATAGAGCTTCAACTAAACGTCTCCACTTGCTTCTGTCTTCTGCTGTACTTTTCACCTGCGTCCATGTTAGTTCATATTGTTTCAATTCCTCATCACACGATCTCCTCCGTGTCACCCTTGGACGTCCCACTCGCCGCTTCCCTTTCGGGTTCTACTCGAGCACTGGCCTGACGCGCGATGTCACCCAGCGGCCTTCTCAGCGAGTGTCCAATCCATCTGCACTTTCTCCTGCATATTTGTTGGGCGATTGGTTCTTGTTTTGTTTGTTCCCATAGTTTCTTGTTCGTTCTTGTTCTTTCCGGCCTTCTGATCTTGAGTATAGAGCCAGCGAAGACAGTTGTTGATAAAGGTCTGCAGCCTGTTGGAAATATTCTTTGTGACCCGTCAGGTTTCTGATCCATATAGCTAAACTGACTTGACGTTTGTATTGAAAATCCAAATTTTGTTGTTGATGCAGAGTGACGAAGATTTCCAGATTGGTTTCAAGTTGATGAATGTGTTTCTCGCCTTCCCGATTCTCGATTTGACATCCTCGTCCGTTCCACCTTCCTGTAGTTGAGACAATGCTCCATTGATAAGTGAATGAAGTAACCCTTTCAAATCGCTCCCGTTGATGGTGATTGGTGCTGGATGTTGCTGCTTCTGTTGTTGTTGTTGGTTGGTTGGTTATTTTCATCACCTCCGTCTTGTCTATGTTCACCTGGAGTCCTATCTTCGCTGCTTCTTCGACCAGTTTGTCGGTCTTCGCTTGTAAGTTTTCGATATTGTGTGAAATCAAACATAAGTCATCCGCGCGCGAAATCTAGGTCTTCTAGGTTCTTCACGTCGGTCAAGGATATACCTGTCTTCTCGTTTCCCACTGTCTGACGCATAATCCAGTCCACCACAATTAGGAATATCATTGGTGATAGTAAGCACCCTTGTATGACTCCTGTGTTTACTCCAAACGCCTCGCTGAGTTTTCCGTTGTGGATCACTTGACATGTGCCGTTGTCAAACAGCTGTTGAATAAAGTTGATGAATATTTGGGGCACGCCGTAGTACTTGAGTAGTTTCCAAATTACTTCGCGGTCAACGCTGTCGAAGGCCTTCTCAAAGTCTATAAAGTTGAGGTAGAGGTTTGATTGCCATTCCATGCTTTGTTCCATGATGATGCGTAGAGTTTGGGACGTTGTCCATTACTGCTTGTAGTTGTCTGTAGAAGGCCTCCTTCTTCTCTTGTTCTGAGACGTTTGGAGGCGCGTAGCATTGAATGATTGTAACCTTCCTTCCTTTTGAGTTGAACTTGGCTGTCATTGTATTAGAGGAGATTGGTTCCCACTGCATGAGAGCTTTGGCTGCTGTTGGTGACATCATGATGGCTACTCCCTCGGTGTGTTCGTGATTGTCCTCTGGGTAACCGGAGTAGATTATTGTCTCTCCACATCCGTTTCATCTGCTCTCGCCGATTCCAAATACTTCTATTTTATATATTCTAATTTTTGCGGCTACCTGGGCAGCTGTCAAGGAACTTAGCCCTAAGTTCCTATCGTAATGAAGACTTAAGCGATTGAGCCGATAAATACTATGTACTTTCTTCAACTTTAAATCCAAAACACCAGTATTCCTTGAACGAAATTATATTGTTTGGCAATCAAATTGATGAAAACTACAAAGTCTACAAACAAATGTTAAGTACAAATGAAGTTATAAAGTACTTTTATTCGTATTTAACTCCAGTCTTCCTTCAACTTGCAAGCGATCGACCATTCGCGCCTTTCAGTTGCCCATTAATGGCTGCCAGACCCAATAAAACAAACGTTCAATGTTCACGTCCATTGACACTCCCCGGCAAAAAAGGGTCCATCCCTTTTTTCCACAGCGGCGGTAACCTTGAACTGAACTGCCAATGCGGGAACCTGGGCCAATCGGGACTAGGCTAAAATTGGAAAAGCAAGACAAAAAAGCCCAACACACAACAAGCATACCACATCACACCGACACGCTCTCCCCGGCGCATGGGATCTACGCTCTCTGACGACAGTACCACCACTGATCTGGTTCACGAAGTATTGATTGCTTCATTCCACTCTA